ATAGCAAATTCTCCTCGCTGATTTCGCTGATTCCCAAAAGGCGCCGTACACCGTGGGTGGGGACGCAGCACCAGGAGCAGGAAGGCGCCGGCACACGGGCGACCCAGAGGCCAGACACGTGGACGCTGCGGTCGGAGGCGATGGAGACACGCCAGTGAGAGGAGAAAGGCAGAAACGAGCAAGAGGCGCGGGCCGGCGCCCCCTCCCTGTAGTCCTCGGCCCGCGGCCTGGGCGGCGGGACAGCCCCAGGAGGGCCCGGGGCCGTGGCCCCGGTGTGAGGGGTGTTCAGTGTGAGTCCACTCTCACGGGGGACAGGGTGTGGAGCCGAAGTGTCCACTATGAGCAAACCGGTCTAAGAAACGACAAAGGAGAAAGTAAAAACAACCTCACTAGATATAGGCTGGGAATATGTAACACAAAACAGCCTTCTCATTAATGGGCTCCTACGGCATTAAGGAACCCGCGCAGGTTTGGTTTTAAAAGAACACAGTTCGCCGCCGCTTGGGCCGCACCGAGGCGGCGCTGCCCAGACAGTGCCGGCACTGAGGGACACCAGCGGCCGCTGGGTCTCTGCTCGGGACGGACGTTTGCTCGGGGGCAATCCCTATCATCCTATTAATATTCTCTAAACTGGCCCTGATCCTACACGAAACAAAGGACCCGCTCTAAGGAGTGAAGACATCAAAGGAAAGGACTGGATGCACAAGCTAAGGTTTAACACGCGGACAATCCAAGTCGCATTCTGTTCGATTCGATTCCAGGTCAATCACAGGTTTAAGAAAAGCCACAAAACAAACTGTCTTTCTATCTCAGGATATGAACTAAAAGAATGATTCAAATCCAGCTGCTTCCTCCATATTTACACCAATAATGAAAACAGCAGAATTTTAACTGAACAAGAATTTCAACTCAGTACACATTTAACACAGCTTAACAGATACAACACACAATGGTACCTCCTTCACTTTTAAGACTCCCCAAGTTTCAAACCCACAGAACCACCAGGACCCCGACCCCACGCGCAGCGCAGCAGCCAGTGCTGTCCTGCCCACACGGCTGCACGGCCGCGGCCACGAGGCGGCAGCTGCCCCCAGGGACGCCACCGGGGGCCCTGCTCCCGGCCAAGGAGCTCGCGTCTGGGCAGAAGGACAGCCACACCCTTCTCTCTGACACCACCTTTCCCAGCTACCAATAGGTGCAGGAAGCCCCAGGGTGAAACTTTATCACGGATAATCTTAATCTTCCGGCGTCAGCAGAGACTCGTCAGTTAAAGAAAAGGCAGTACTCAGGAGTAGCTGGCAGGTAGACTCACATTCCCCAGCAGACTACCCAGGAATGAGAATCAAGGCCTGTCCCGATGTGACTAGAAGGAGGGAGCGGGTGAACCCGCCAGAACACAGTGTCCTCCGTCCTAACGTGTCGAACAGCCCAGATGCGGACGCCAAGCGTTTTTATTTCTTCAAAAGCCGACTGCAGGGAGCTGGCAAGGACAGCCCCCAACGCACTTGGCTGCGGCTCCGCGCCCTCCTGGCCCCGGGCAGTTGGCTGTCTGGCCTCGAACGTCCCTTTGCGCGCTTTCCCCAGCAGCCCACCACCCGCTCTGCAGAGCCGGCTGTGCCACCAAACCCGTCCCTGCTTCTCTGCGACAGGTAGCAACACCTGACGTGTATGGGCGTTGTAACCACGTAACATATAACAACACATTTAACGCACAAACACTCGATATGATATAGATCCCGCTATCATCAGCCCCATGTTTCCGATGAGAAGCAGATGCTCACAGCAGCTTGGCCAGGGCTTCAAAGCCGGTGAGAGTCGGCCTCCGGCAGCCTCGCTTCAGACCCCACTTTTAACCTCCTTGCTCACGGCATCTCCGCCTGAGCAGGCGAACCCCGGATGCCAGCTCTGCCAGTGCTCTGCCCTGAGCGCCCGAAGCCTGGGTCTCATGCTGCTGTGAGTCTGTCGTTCGTCCGCAGTCCTGAAACATCTCTCTCCCAGGGTCCTGGGTTTGCCAAAGTGCTCAAATGACCGTATCTTGGGCTGCAGTAGATTACTTTATTTGGCATATTTTTTAAATCAAAATTGTTTCATAAATCATTGATTCTACCACATAAAGTCCAACGTCCATTTAGCAGAATCCTCAGGAAGTGCAACTTTTAGGGTTAAAGCAACTCTCCCACTCACAGAATATCAGCCAGAAGATTGCAAGGAGAAGAGTCCGGAGCCATGGGGCTGGGATCAGCACGGTGGAGAGGCCCCCCGGCCCCTGGCCACCTGAAAGGGCCCTGCCGCCCTTCTCTCGCGCCGCGTCTCCTCGCAGGCCCCACGCGTGCAGGTGGCCACGGCCGGGAGGCTGCCCTGAGGCCTGAGCGCTGACCTCCGCCCCCTGCCCCCAGCTGCCCAGAGGCGGATTTTCTGACTCAAGCACATTCATTCTCCCAAGGAGGGAAATGCCACGTGCCCAGTGATTTGCTCAGTGTGTAGGTTACTAATCACCACTAAGGGGGTGCGCACTTGCCCTGAAGCGGCAGCCGTACGAGGAGTTACAATCAGGGGAATTTTAAAAGAATTTTATCTAAATGCCCCTCCAACGTGCAGGGGTCTCCGGGTGTGTGTGCCCACCGCCCCCGCCACGAACCTCTGCCCCTCAGGTCGCGGGTCAGGCAAATCCACCACCCGGCCTGTCTCCCACCCCCACATGCATGGTGTCGAACGTAATGGGCAAGTCTGTCTTTTTGGTACTTCCTTTCCCCACATCAACAACATAGTAAGAAATTTACACTCAAGCGTCTAATCTTTGAAATATAAAAAGAATACAACTACATGTGAAATAAAAATTAAGTGACTAGCAAGAACGTCCTGAACGGATCAGGGAGTCTTCCTGGAACCGCACTCCATCTGTCCCGCGGCCCCAACCCTGGCGGCACCTCGTTCGTGCGCCCAAAAGACGGGGCCGTGCACCCGCGTCGTGTGCACGCGCTACTGTTAATGGCGTCTCAGAGTTAATGTCTTTCTTATTTTACAGAAAAGTTAAATTTTAAAAATCAATGTCATATTTTCTTTCAAATGGATAACTTTGCACCCCACCTTAGAGACCTTAATACCAAAAACAAAAAAAAATCATGATTTCTAATCTTCTAGTCCCAAACTTAGAACAAAATTTCCATAACCTTTTTTCCAAATACAAATGTGTTAAAATAAACTACCATCAAAAACTATCCGTCACCCTTTTGACCACAGGCAAGGGCCAGCTTGCACCGCCCACTTCGCGACCCTGAACTTTGTCAGCCACGGGCCGGTGAGCGGCGGCCCTATTTCAAAGCACAAAGTAATGGTCGCCGATGTAAAGACGCTCGGCCATAACCGAGACGACGAGCAGACGGGGGTGTCTGCTTCTCGCTGGGCAGCCCCTGCTCGGCTGGACCCAACCAGGCCTGCTACCTGCGGCCACGCGGCCCCCCGCGGTCCCCGCGACCCGCCGGGGACCCGCCGGGGACCCGCCCGAGCGCGCGGGCAGCACCGGAGCAGCAAGGGGAAGTCTCCCGCGCTCACAAAATCCTCATGAAGAACAAGTTCAGTTCACTTTTTGAAATGGATGAGCCACACAACAACAAAACCACAAAAGGGAAACAAAACACCGAGCACCGGAGAGTGTGGCAACGACACCGCTCTCGGTGCCTCCGCGGTGAGCGCTCGGCCACCCCCGCCCCCCGCAGCCGTCACCCCCGTCGCACCTGCCCGCCCAGGGCGCACACACCACCTGGCCGCCTCCTCGGGCGACCCTGCCCTTCACCCGCGACTCCTGCGCCAGAGACGCCCAGCTGGGCACCCTTCGCCCTCGGAAGTGGGTCCCCTCCCGAGCGGAGGCCGGGCCCGCACCAGCTGTTCCCAGTCCCCTCGCGGGCTGGGACAAATGACTCAGCAGCCCAACTTTTTCAACGAGTCATGCTACCTCGTTGCCCAACCCACAGAGTGAACCGCGGCGAACCCGGGCCACAGCCCGAAGTTGAACAACAGCAACAACACACCACGCGACGCAAAGCCGAAACCAGGACCATCCGACACGAGGCTGAGTCACCGCGAGTCTCTCCGCCGAGGCTTCTCCCTCCCATCCGAGGCAGGGGTGCCTCCCGCCGGCCTCGGCCCCGGCCCTGGCCCCGGCCCCGCAGGAAGCCGGCGGGTCTCCGCCCGCCCTGCGCGACCCTGAGACGCGCCCGGGCACCCGCCGCGCGCGCCGCTGCCACCTCGCCTCCCGGCGAGCAAGCAGAGCCCCGGGGACGGCTGGGTCCGGTGAGAGCCGCGGGCGGCCCCCTGGGTCCCAATGTCGACCCGAAACCCTTCCCCAAAGTCCGCTTCCGCACAAAGAGTCTTTGTTCCTTTTCCCAGTCACTATGCCCGGTCCTCTGAGCCCCCGCACCAGGCTCCCCGCACGGTTCTGCCCAGCGACACGAAGGCACCGCGGGGCCGCGGCAGCCACAGCCCGCGTGGTATCCACCCCACCCCGCGCGCCGGCACCAGAGCCTGCGCGCCCCGCTCCGCCAGACCGTCCCGGCCGAGCCCGGCCCGCAAGACGCTACTGCTGCCGCCTGGAGCCGCACTCAGCGCGGGCGGCACTGCCGGGAGGGGCAGGAGGACCGCGCGGAGCCGGGCGGGCCGCGGGCGCTGCGCGGGGTCCCGGCGGGCGGGCCGGGCCCGGTGACGGGCAAGCGAGCTGGGCGGCGGCGCTCCGGGCCGCAGCCACTGCTCCGTACCCGCCCCGCCCGCCCGAGGAGAAGAACGGCGCGGGTCGGTCAAAGACCGAGGGCCGGAGGGTCGCCCCTTCCGGCGGACGCGGCCACTTCCAGGAACCGCGGCCGCCGCCACCACCGCGGCCCGGCGACGCTCTCCCCGCCCAGCAAGGAGCCGCCGGGCCCCTCCGCGCCGCCCCGCACAGGCCTGCAGCCGCCGCCGCCGCCGCCGGGACCCTGCGCGGAAGGGCGCGGGGCGGTAGAACCACTCACCAGAGCCGAGGCGCGGCGCGGCCCGACTGACGGCAGCCAGCGATCCGGGCGGGCAGCGGTCAGGTGACTCACCGCCTCTCCGCGGCCGGCCGCCGGCTCCCCTCCCCTCTCCGCCCCCCAGCCGCGGCCGCCGCCGGCACCTCCCGGCGCCGGGGCCCCGCCCCCTCCCCGGGCCCCGCCCCCAGGCCCTCCTCGCGAGACCCCGGCCCGCCCGGCCAGGAGCGCCCAGGCCCCGCCCCGGCCCCGCCCAGGCCCCGCCCTCAGGCCGCCTCGCGCGTTCTGGCCGCGCCCCGCCGCCACGGTTGACTCAGCCGCGTGGTTCCGGCGGCTCTCCCGGTGGCTGTAGCTGCGCCGCCTGACGCTCACGCCGCGGTCGCGGGGAGCGGACGCGGGGTCGGAGCAGGGCTCGCCGCCTCCTCCCGCCGCGCACGGACGCCTCCTTCCCCCGGGGTGGCGGGCGGGAGGAGGCTGACGGCCCCCGCCGGCCCCGGGGCGGGGCGCCCAGTCGCTGGGAACTGCGCCCACCGGTGGGAGAGCGTCCCCTGCTCGGCGCTCCGGCGGCGTCCGGCAGTCCCGCGCTGCCTCGCCCGGACACGGGGGTCCCTTCCGCTGCGGCTCTCGGGAGCCTGGAGCCCGGGCCGCCCCCTGCTCGGGCTTTCGTCCTCCGCCGCTCGTCCTGGCCTTCACCCGGCGTCGGTTCTCAAGTTGCGTTCCCGAGCCGCTCCGCGCCTCTGCGATTCAGAGCGTCGTCCCTGCGCAGAGATGCGCCCGTGGCGGAGCCTGTGCTCGTACCTCCGTCTGGACGAGATGCGGACACGCGGCGACCCCGCGCCACCAGACTGACTGGGGTCCCCAGGGCTTTGCGAAGGGATTTGGCCGTTGGCTTTGGAGTTCAGGGGGAGAGGGATGAAGGACGGGAAAATTGGTGCCCGAAGAGCAGCAACGTCAGAGCGTGTGGACCCGTTCCTGAACTCGGGAGCTGGAGGGGGTTGGGAGGAGCGATCAGGGCTGAGAGTCGGTGTTACCACGAACGGGACGGTGTTTGCACCCACAGGCTCCGACACGTGGAGACATTTGAGTTACGTCCAAAATGCACAGGAAAATTACATGGGCGAAATTGTGGGGGGGTGCAAGGGGTGGGAGTCCCTATGACCCGGATGGGGAAGCAGGTGAAGTCTGCATTGGGCCTTAAGTGGAAGGAATGAGGTCCAGCCGCCCGGGGAGCGGGGAGCATGGTGGAGTCCAGCGGGGCGAGGAGTGGGAACGAGGGCCCTCGTGGCTGCCTGCATTCACGGGGAGGTGAGGATATTCCTTCAGTGAGACAAGAGGAGAGGGCAGCTGGGCACAGGTGCTGAAAGGACTGGGGCCCTTGGACGCAGTGAGACCTCTGGAGGCTTGATTCTCCTTCGCCCAGGGGCCAACAGAGCTCCTCTTCCTTCCCCGCATGGACGGACTGTTTCTTCTAGAAGAACAGACCCTCCTCTTAGGGAGGAGCTATTCAGGGGTGTCCAGTCTTTTGGTGTCTCTGGGCCACACTGGAAGAGGAAGAGTTGTCTTGGGCCACACAGTAAATACACAAACACTAGAGAAAACTGAGGAGTTAAAAAAAAAAAGGTTTTAAGTAAATTTATGATTTTGTGCCGGGCTGCATTCACAGCCATCCTGGGCTGAGGGTTGGGCTCCACTGCAGATGATGGCTGTGATCCTTTCTACCGGAAAATCGTGGCATTTACTCTGGTACGTTTCATAGTTTGAAAAGTCTTAAAAAGGTGTACCAAGGTGTTGAGAGGTAGGAGTGACTCTCAAACTTTAATACAGCCAATACACGAGCCTCTGGGGTGCTGGTGGAAACGCAGGTTCCGGGGCCCTGGCAGAGTCTGCTTTCATAGGTCTGAGTCAGACCCAAGGGTCTGCAGTTTTAATGATGACGCCAGTGGTCTTTTGTCCGCACTCGAGAGAGGTCCTGGGTTAGCGCTCGCGCTGTGTAGGAAGGCCAGGGAGAAAAATGAAACTAGAGAATGTCATAAAACCCAGGCAGAATGGGGAGGGCCTCAGCCACTTGCCTAGAGTTTGAACTTTGCCCCGGGGGCTGAAGGGACTGTGGAGGTGTTTAAATCATGGGATTGTTTTTGCAAGCTAACTCTAGAGAGCTAGTTCCAAGTCCAGTTGCCTTAGCTCCCTCTGTCTTTAAGTATTCATTCCTGAATTCAATCAACGAAGTTGGAGGGAGGATAAAAATGGGCTTAAAACTGGGGGTGGGGTGGAGGGGTGGGTTTCAAGATAAAATAAGCGTAGGTCTTACCAACGTGAAAAACAAAGCTGCCAATTGACACATCTTCCCTCAAAAGTGATATGGATTGAAACCATACTGCCCCCATCCCCAAGTCAGGTGATTTTTGTAGAAAATGAACATATTTTATTTGAACACAAAAAGGAGAAGATGGGCAAACTGGCTGTAGCGTTTGCCTGACATCTCAAAAGGCAAGCCCCAGGCTTGAGATGTGCACAGTCTAAGTTTTTTTTTTTTTTTTTTTTTTTTTAAGAAGCAGAAAAAGAAAAGGAAGAAGACAGTGTTGGAGCAAAAAAACTCAGTGAGACGGATGTGCTGCTCAGATACGAGATGGAACAACCCCCAAAGCGGCTCAGCCTAGGGCCCAAATAGGGAGGTACTGCAGAATCCGTGGGAGCCACAGTGGCCTATAGATGGCCTCAAAATTCTGTCACTTGCCCCGGGGAGTTTGTTTTCCATCCCTCGAGTCGGGCCAGCCCTGCAGCCGCACAGACGAGAGGACAGCAGAAGGGATGCTGCGGTGGTCCCGGGGCTGGCCTTTAAGAAGACTGGCACCTTCCACGTCTTTCCTGAACCATCTCCTGGGACTCTCCCTCTAGGAGCTGCCGCCACGCTGAGGAGCCCGGCAAGGGGACGCCTGTCCCTCTCCCGTGGACACCACGACACCCAGCAGAGCGACCAGCCCTGGTCAGTGTCCAGCGTGCTGTAGGCGTGAGCCCTCTGGGCTACTCGCGTCCAGTCCAGCTGGGGCGGGACTCCAGCCTCTCAGAGCCCAGTGAGCACAGAAGCGCGATGAAGTCAATGACCGTTGTTTGGAGCTACTAAGTTTTGGGGTGTTTTGGTCAAAATATCTAATAATGGACTAGAACTCGAAAATGTAGTTAAATTTGTAAGAACCTCAACCCAAAGGATCATGGCTTCGAGGAAGTTTCAGGTAAATAAAACAATGTGTGAAAGAGACTTTAACTTTAAACCTGTGTCCATCTCCTTGACCTGAGATGACACCTGAGACGTTCCTCGGGCACAGATCGGCTCTGCCCCAGGTCCCCGCGCCGTCTGCGCGTGCCCCCCGGGCGCGGCTGGTGTTAGGCGAGGCCTGTGCGGGCACCTAGTTGGCACGGGCCAGAAACCCTGACCGTCCTGCCGTGCCCAGGGCATTCCCAGATAACATGCTGTGCGTAAAGACACCTCATTCCCTCTCCACAACGCGGGACTCTCTGGCCCAAGGTGTCAATAAAGCCAAGGCTGAGAAGACGTGCTCGCACTTCAGTGTGATAAACGTGTACAAATTAAAAGAAGGAATAGAAGAAAACAAAATAATTGAAAGAAAATACAATGGAGCCAGGAAGATGCTAAAAATACATGTCACGGAATGTATATTCTTGACAAAGAGGGGCCAGAGAATCAGCTTTGGGCCCCCGGCAGCCCGGGGAAAGGGGAGCTGAAGGTCCCGGATGAGCTATGGAGGGGGCTGGACAGGAGTGACCACAGTAAGAGAAGGAGGCACTGACCCAGGCCCGCAGCCCGTTGCCCGGACAGAGCTGACACGCGTAGCAAGTGCTTTGGGAACAGAACATGATGACCTCTGGCATTTGAAAGTTGCGAACTAGGACCCACTAGTCAGAGCCAAGGTTCACATTCCACCACAAAGAGCAAGAACCATCCCTCAGGGAGGCTGCATTCTCACACTGCCGGCCACTGCGGGACCCCTGGCCAGCCGTCCCTGCTGTGCTCGGGCCACACGACGCGGCCTCTAGGCCCCGCATGGACGGGTTCCCCTGCGCCACCTCTCGGGAGATTTGAGCGATGGGAGGTGTGTCTCCCCGCCCAGTCACAGGTTGGCTGTGGCTGTGCTTGCCAACCAAGACCCCAGCCCCAGCCCGGTCACCTCCACCTCGCGACGCCTGGTGTGCACAGCCCCCGGGTAGCCGCCCCTCCCTTCTGAGCGGTCCACGGGTTTCCTGCCAGCTCCCCCGCTGACTGACCGGGCCAAGACGCGGGGGCAGCCAGAGCGACTGTATCAGCACGTGTGAGCAAAGGCGGGCGCTGTGGAGAGGAGCTCGAGGTCAGAGGCCAGGAAAGGCCACCAGGGACACCGACCCAAGCACGGCGGGCGGGCGCTGCCCGGGGGGGAGGGCGCACTGGCCAAGGACACAGGGCTCCGTCCCGGCGCCCTGACCCGCAGGACGTAGGGGGCCCCAGCAGTCCGGGGCTCAACCCCTTCGCTCCGGCTTCACTGGCAGGTGTTCCCTCCGGGGAGACGTCGTTCTGGGAGCAGGCACCAGGGCGTGGCGCGCGTGCCGGCAGGGTTCTCGCGGCGACCCCAGGAGCGGCCGTCCCGCTCCCCCCGTGTCTGCAGCCCCTGGAGCGTGTGCAGCCAAAAGACAGGCCGCCACGGGTGCGCCCGCAGCCCGGTCTGCGCGCCCGCGCGCTCAGGGTGTGTGTGACCCGACGCCGAGGCGGTCGGTCCAGTAGGCGGAGCCTGCGTCCCAGGCTGTATTCTCATGACAGCGGTGACACCTTCTTCCCCATCACCCTTTTTCGGCCGACTCTGCCCCTCGGCGACCTGGTGTCCATCCCCCCCCTTTCTTCCTCATGGAAAATGCCCGCCACCCAGGCTCCCTTTGCATGTGACCTAGTTCTGCTCAACCAGATGTGAACAGATAGGCCCTCGGTGGAACCTCCCGGGAAGCTCTGCCTTTCCTGATTAAAAAAGGAAAGACCAAATCAGCGGTTGCGCACCTGCCCTGCCCCTGCCCGCGAGCTGGGCTGTCCTTTCTGCCCCGAGGCTGGGAGGCCCAGGCCGCGCTCCC